GGGCTGGAGGGTTGCACGTGCCTCGCTCGAGGAAACGGCGTCACCAGGTAAAATGTTCAATCACGTGCAGTGGGAAACAAATCCACCATGCGCGCTCTGTGAAAGCGCAAAAGATCAAGGACATTCTACGAAGTGCAGAAATGCGATTACGTCTACTAGAATTGCATGCTCGACGGCCGGGGTACGAGCCACCTACTACGAAAGATCGTGTTGAGTGGACTACGGAAGGTCGTGTTGAGTTGACCGAAGTGTCGTGGCCTGCTCACGTATAGCAGGTAGATACGTACGTGACCAATGGCATTATATTTCCTGATATTGGAGCCTTCCACAAGTGCCGGTGCATCGGCTGGGACTGCTGCGACAACGTGGACGCAGCCGTGTACTGCACGACTCCGTGTTGCAAGTTGCGGGCACGCTGCAGCAATGCGCCCATTGTTCGTTCCACTCTCAAACGCTTCGACACGCATCGTGTCGGCCTCGGAGTCTACACAACCACCAAGTTGGACGTTGGTGACATTGTAGGCGAGTATACTGGCGAGCTTAGCTAGTGGGAGGGGCAAATTGACGGACAGCCGGAGCAAGCCCTGAAACAAAACAGTGGGTACACACTGCTTTACAACGCCAAATCGACCAATAGGAAATTTGTCTACGTGGAGGCTTTGAACTGTGGTCGCATCACTCGTTTCGTAAGTCATGCTTGCGACCCGAATGCAGCATTTGTGGAGACGCGAAACCGCCGAAACGTCAAGGTGCTGATAAAGATGATAAAAGACGTGCAAGCTGGTGCAGAGATAACGGTGCACTATGGGAACGAACACTGGTTTGTTTGTGCCTGCGATGACTGCTGGACCAGCCGTCTTTCTGATTCCCATGAGTAGCCGTTTAATCGGGAAGTCCGCGCATGGATCATGGTAGACACGTAGAACCTAAGTCGAGATCAACCTTTTAAAAGCCTAATTCGATGTCTACTTAGCACTGTCTACTTAGCACTGGGTTCAAGTCTTTATTTTACTTATACTGTACGATGTCAAATTTCATGCCAGCACTTCAGCATAAGCCGGTCAAGTTGATTTAATAAGCACACTAGGGTCTAGAGTCGATGTACAGCTATGTATGTATGCGGAAAATTAAAAAATGATAAATACACATACACAGTATGCAACCAAGTCCGTTACAAGTGTATGGCAGCTTTGACATTGTATGCATAACATCTACCTAAGATGCGGGGGCTTGTGCAGCCAAACGCTCGCACCCATACCGACCAGCGGACCCTGGCAATCCACCAAGTAAGTGGTAGGTCTGCTTGTTTCTCTTTTAAGAAATACTAGCTCATTCCTGACTCAGCGCAAGACCAGCACGTCTTGGTCTTCCTCCAGCACCCGTAGCTTCGTCTTCTGAGCGTCGCCGTTTGTTTCTGTTGACTAAAACCTCTCGTCCTTGACTATCCACGTGAGCAGTCATTCTCAGTGCGTATAGGACGTGGACACACGCCCCAAATACAAACCAATAGTTGCACGGACACCATTGCGTGTCCGCGTTGACATGCTAGCTACCCCAGGGTTGGTTATGCACTTACATCCTAGCATAGTTTGCCCCCATCTGCGTCGACGCGGCGATGCCTTCCTCGCTGCGCTCGTTTGGCGCAACCGCGACAAGCGGTGCTAACACAGCCTTCACACGCATAACTGCGGGTCCTCCAGCACTCGCAAAATCAAAGTTATCACCCCCACCAAATGATGGTATAACATCGACGCGCCAATTCAATCATACGACGTGTGAGGGTTGACGACGGGGTCACCCCAAACTGAAAGGACCGCGTGCTCAGAGATTGATCTTCCAGATAGGAGCTAAACCCACGCAAACGTGTGCCCATCTTGAGCCTCCGTCGTAATGTATAGTCTCTCTTCAACGTCGCGTAAAAAGTTTCAGCGGGGTTGTTTGTAGCCGCAAAGCCGCTAGGAGTAGGAAAAGCCCCGTCAGCCACTGCGCCTTCATGTACTTCTTGAACAACAACAGATGCTGGTCCTTCTTCCACTCCAAAAAAATTGAATCCCGCACTCAATTTTATTCACTTTGGCTGCGGGTAAAGTGGAGATCGTACACATCTCGTAATACTTTAGCTGCTAGAAGTGAGGGAAATGATTTAATCGCCGTCTGCACATTTTCCATTACATGGAAAAAGCACATTAGGAATTGAAATCTTGGATTTCCACCAAAACCGCATTGCAACGCGTTGCATTGTGCCTTGTCTCCGTCTGCCATTGCGTACTGAACCACTAGCTCCTTGCTTGTCAGCCAAATGTAAAGCGTGCGCAGGGACATGAGCACGGCTTGGAACACTGCCTGTGTCTCCTGAGAGACCACGAAAAGTGCAACAAGGTGGAACCCGCGAGACCTGTCGCTCACACCCACTACAACCACTAGGTAGCCTACATAGTTTGTTGTATACGTGTAATCCACGTGAAAAACAAAAACTTTCCGGAGGCAGCATCACGCGTAGCATTAGTGCTTTAGTTGTTAACCTAATAATAAAAGGCTTCTCATCGGATCCGTTT